TCTTCTCTCTCTCTCTTACTACTTATATATATATATATATATATATATCCCCATCTATCTATTTACCATACCCGTTTGTGTTTTGTTGTTACTTTTTTCATGTATGCGCTTTACCTTTCTTTCTTTCTCTCCCCCCAATTTTTTTTGTTTGAATCCCCTGCTTATTCTGCCGCTGCGTCCTGTTGCGTTCGACAGAGTTTTTCCTCTTCTTTTTTGTTTTTGCTTTTGCGTTATTGTTCCACGCGGACGTGTGTTGTTTTCTCCACACTGGCGTATTTTTTATTTATTTATTTTTTTTTTTTTACTTTGTTTTCCATTTTCGCCGCATTCAACGTGAGGTGGTGCCAGGAGGTCCCGGGGAATGCGACGTTTGACGGAGTTTACATCTGCGTTTTAGTTTTATCAGGCACCCACATATTTTGAGTCGATTTGGTTCGTAGCTGCGGTTTGGTTGATTTTTGGCGGTAACGCACGGCGAGATTGGCGTATGTGGCTGGGCACAGCTGTGCGGGGATAGACAAAAAGGATGACCCATACGGTGGCGAATCGCATGCCGCTTGTAGGGCTGTTGCTGCCGCTGCTGTTTCTATGGGGCTGCGTGGCACCGCGAGCTGCGGTGGCGGAGGTCTTGGCGCTGGCGATTTCGTCTTCGTCCGAAAATTGCGAGGGCGAGGTGGGCACTCCGATCACACGCCGGCAGCCAGACACGTACACGGACTATACATCAGACAACTCCACTCCCACGAGCCACAGCCGTCGCTTTGTGAACGACTCGGAGCGTGTGATTAACGGGCCGAGACACGACGTTGTAAGGGGGGTGGCGTACGCAACAAGGAAGGTATCCGGAACGGGGATTGCGGTGAGCCCGGTGGCCCTTGCTGAGTACAATGTGACGTCGAGTGCACTGATTCCTCCGGTGGTGACGCCGCCTACTGTGGGACAGCTTCAACGGGGTCCCTTAATGGTGACGCTGTCGCATGCAGAGAACACGACACTCCTCCCAAACCTGAAAATCCAGCTTCTTATAACCTACCTGCCGTCGCTGTCGACCCCATGGGCGATTGGTGCATTGCCGCCTGTCCCACCGGACGGGGAGTGGCAGCTCTACAACGGAAAAGGTGTTCTTCTTGGTAAGCCTGGTACATACATTGTGAGAGCTCGGACGCAGGATGCGTCGGTAAACCCAAACAAGTACAGTCCTCAAGCAAGCTTTCTCTATCGCCTTCAGCCACCTCTGATGTATGATGTAAGCACGGAGTGCTGCGACGATCCCCGTCGACCTGTCGTTGGACACGTCTTTACTGTGTGGCTGAGTGCCACGCTGTGGCCCTCCTTTTTATTCCTCAGCATCTCGGCAAAAGGCTGTGAAAACGAGCGACACATCCTTGACGACACCGGCAAGGTTCAAGCGGGATGGCGACAGGTCGCCTTTCCCTTTGTCACGTACACGGAACCACAACCAAGGGTCTTCGTATGTGTGAAGGAACACGGCTCGTCAGGATACGTTCTTGTGCCACGGCGGATATCTGCTGCGGACCGAAACAACGGTGTAGAAAACTGGTTTGCTGTGTCACCCAGAACGCATGGGGAAAAGTCTGAATTTGAGCGGGATAAGGCATTGACAAGGCCATCACACCGCCAATATCCAACCATTCCCGCACCCGGCTCTACGGTTTATGAGAGCACTCACCGTGAAATGGGGTGGGTGCTTTTCATGGCTGGATCCACTGTGCTCCTCGTTGGGACGCTATGTTTGCGTGGCCGCCATATCAGGGGCCGCCTCTATGAAGGCAACTCCCGCTTGAGTGGGAGACCAACTCCCACAGACGACGCTCAATGCGTCACTTTTAACTGAAGGAGGCTTGCAAACATGAAGGATCAACGATATGTGTGGCGTTTTACTCAAAAACGATTCCATTTTTTGTTTGTTTTGCTCTGAGAGCCTTGAAATGGAAGGCTTTTCTCTCATAGCTTTTTTTTTTTTGTGTGTGTGTATGTGCGTGTGTGTGGTGACGCGCCGCGTGCGGAAAGAAGCAGGACGAAAGTTGTGGAGAACTTCACAAGCTTCGTCGGGAAGAAGCTGATGCTTCAGTAGTGAAGCATAGCCAGCGGTCAAGTGTTATATATATATATCTGCGTGTGTGTGTGTATACCCATCTGTTTATAGATCTGTTTTTCTTCTTGCCTTCTCATCTCTTTAGGGAGAAATAAACCGTTGGCTCTTTTGAGTTGACCTTGTGCTGTTCGTAGTGATGGAGTTTGGGTTGGCCTTCTTTCAAGCAATTGATGCGAGTAGTCTTGTGCCGGTCCCACTCATATTTGTCATAGCTGAGCTTCTGGGTGCAGTGTTCCTAATTGTTTGTCTTGGCGTCTTGCTGCGCGTTGTGCCACCGTGCTGGGAGAGACACAAGCCGGCACTGACGCAAAAGTGGCTATTGCACGGCAGTGCCACTCGCATCAGGCTCGCTCCCAAGAAGGACTGTGGGGTGACCGTCGTGAAGGGTGCTGCCCCACCGCAACCAACTTTGACGGGTGCCAAGGAGCCTGTGGCGCCGTCGGGGGAGTCCATGTCCTCAGTGAAGAAGCGTGTGGAGGCAACGGTTTCCGTGAGTGATGAAACCTCACTCGACAATTACATTGACACGTTTTTTTCGGAGGCACAGCTGCTCGATGACGCCCTCTTAAGCACAGTCTTGAGTGACGCGACCGCGGCTCCGACGAGGGCGGCTAGCGGAGGCTTTAGAGCAGCAGCAGCAGCGAGAGGCCGAATGTGGGACTTTGGCGATGGTGATTAAGACAAATATTGGAGTCACAGCACTGGTGGGAATAAACTAAAGGGGGTGGGGGGTTTGTCGCCAAGAAAGACAGAAGTTTGAAGTCCCAGTGACTGTAGCCTTTCACCATGATTCCGTGTATTCATTTTCCGAGAAGAAACAACTGTGCAACGGGGGGCTGCTTGATGTCCACAGGCACAATCTTTGCAGCTCCTACCTTTCGTACTCCGATACTTTGCATTGCGGTAGCATCGGGGTTGAGGAAACGTTCCTCACACTGCGTGGAAGAGTTGGGTCTCCGTTGACGCTGAGGATTTGTGCTTTGGGGCTTGTGGACTGCGGAGAAGTTTTGTGTCTTTTGTTTCTAGCGGCCGTGAGGGGTGGTAGCCGCGAGGAGGCGAAGCGTAAAGAGGAAGGGCAACAGAACAGGGAGACACCGACGAAGTGTGGCAAGTGTGTGCCATTCCAACTCGATAAGCATGCACGTTGAAAAGGAAAACAAAGGCGCGTGTGGTGGCTTCACTCACCCTCTTTAAAAATCATACTTTTGCCCTTCTTTTGTTTTCTCCTTTGGAAATGCAAAACTCCTCTCTCTCTCTCTCTCACACACACACACACACACAAACGCCACGCGCTTGTGCGTGACATTTCCTCATGCTGCTGTGGATGGAGGGAATGCAGGCGCCTACAACCACCCCGGCGGGTGGGACCGGATCATGCTGGAGCATACGCTGAAATAATGAAGCAAAAATGTCAAGGCACCAGACAATGTCTGCCTGCATGCAATGCTGCGTAGTTTGCACCATTGCTACCTTTTTAGCAAAGTAAAAAAAAAAAGGGGGGGGGTCACGCAGAGAGGGAGAAAGAATGACTGAGAGTCGCTTCAAGGGATCGTAAATTTCCGCAGAAGTAGGAAGAAGAAGAAGAGCCACGAGTGTATTCAGCATCGGTGTGGGCGGCGCATCTCCCAGACACACACACACATTTTTTACTTTTGCTTTTTATTGGTGTGTGACATTTCTGCATCTTTCTCTTTTTGTGTGAACCTTTTTCTTTTTGTTTGCTTTGCTTTGCTTTCTTCTCTTTGAACTTCACCATGTGCCAGCGGATAAACTACAACTCCACACGACAACGGAAGGAAAGGGGTATAAGCGAGTCCGCACTTTATTTATCTATTATTTTGCCCTTCGTACTCTCCTACTTCTTCGGTGGGTTTTGAATGAATGTGCCGATGCCGGATGTCGCCGAGATGTTTGTGGCGAGCGACTGTGACGCTTGTCGCGGCGGTTTCATTCTTTTGGCTACTGGCCTTTGATCTCGGCACCCCCGCCCTCTTGGAGGAGGATTCGGCAGTCGGTGCGCATCGCAGGACTGCCGCCTTTTTTCTCCATGCCTCCATGGACGCTGCCCCGCCGGTGGAGGACCGCGATGCCTACTCCTCCCTCTACTGCGTGGGACACAAATTTAACGATCCACAGAGGGCTACTGCGGCGTCTTCGTCGTACCCGGGCGGTTCCGTGCGTGGGCGAAGGGAACCAGTGGACGGCGCCGTGGAGACAGAGCGCGTGGATGTCGTGGTAAATGGTGTGTTCCTGCCGGACTTTACGGACAATGAGAGCTCAACGGATACGGATATAACTCTGGGCTCTGCTGAGAGTTATTTTTATCCCATTTACAATCGCACCTGCCTGTACACGTTTGTGTATTTTGACAATAAGCGAAATAAGTTTTTATTTTATCTTCAAAACACATCTACACACCGTCGTCTTCTAGCTGCGGGGAAGCTGAAGCTTCCACCCGTGTCGTTGAGTTCGAGGCCTCTGGAGCTGCCACGTGTAAAGGCGAAAGCGCTTCGACAGAAGTCTCAGTGGGCCTTTACCTATTCTCCAGTGGTTGTTTTGGGTAGACATCCTTGTGAGCAGGTGAAGCAAGCACGACGGAAGCGACAAGACGAGGTTGCTGTGCCCTTTCATAATATGCTGGTGGCATACTTTGTTCCAACTGTGGCGCCATGGAACTTCGCTCACACGCTCCTATGTGACCTATTTGGTTTTTTTTGGGGTTCCATGGAACTCCAGCGCGTGTTTGCTCACACATTTCCCGCTGAGGTAAAGTTTCTTTCTGAGGCTCTGCCAGAGGCGCAGCTAATCGCCGCGTCGTTTCGTTACTTTCCACAGCATAAACTCCCGAATTCAAACAAGGCGTTTGCGTTCATGTCTCGGCGACCGGCAATATATGACCTGGCACTTCCCTCGGGCCTGTACCGAGGACTGCTGGCAGGTACGGGGACAAAGAGCTGGAGTTGGGTGACAACCGCCTATGCGGCCAGTGGATCTCCAGCGCTGTGGTACGCCTTTCGACACTACATCATACGCCATACAGGGGCTCAGCAGCCTTCCCACCGCAGTAAGGCTTTCCCTGCCTTGTCTGACCCACAACGTCCGCTGCGCGTGTCGATTTGCCACAAAAGAGACAAGCGCGGTATTGTAAATGATGAGGAACTTATTCTTTTTTTGAGGAAGCAATTTGGATCGGCGATGAATAATGTGGAGTTTCTGCTGGAGAGTATTGTGAGCCACAGTGCGAAGGAGCAGGTGGAGATGATGTTGGCAACGGACATTTTTGTTTGCAACGAAGGCACCTTGGCGACAATCTTCTTTTTGATGAATCCCGGTTCCGTGTTTGTGGCGATTCCGCTGGTGTATCATTTGCCACATCTGCACCGGCACAACATGCCATCTCCGGACACCTGGTGGTCGCTTCCGGATCTTATCCGTGTGGATCCCCGATTCAACACGGGTGGAAATATTGACTGGTTTCCCCCGGCTATCCCATGGGTGCGCCTCACCTGGTACAGTGAGATTCCGCTTTCAGAGACATCGATTCAGCAACCTTTGCGTGGGCTGCACAACTATATGCCTGACTACAATGTTCGTATAAATCTAGAACGTTTTGCATCTGCAATGCAGCGGTCTATTGCATTCGTTCGAGGCCGAGGCACGTTGTGGAATGTAAATTTTGCTTCAACGCCGTCTAATCAACATGCGGCTTCTCTGAACGTTGGCCAGGATGCGGTGCACTCAGGCGTTGCCTCGTTTGAGGAGAGGCATCAATACGTTACAGTTTCCCTGGAGTCTACCAATCTGACATATATCGTGAATAACATTTCGCTTCGTCGCATATTTTACTTACATGAGAGTCTTGCTGAAAGCCATCGCTTTCGCGGCCGAGCTCATAGGCCACCGAATTACTCTGTTACGGCGGACCAATGCCGTCGTTTGCTGCATCTGCGTCCGGAACTTGCGACAAGCTTCAACACGGCACTTTGCCGCTACGGTATGAGTTGGCTGTGCGAATTGTTTGTAAATGGTCGCTACCCTCAACGTTTTTTTCATGACAAATGGCGACTAAGCCATGGACGGTGCGGCGGGGAGGAGAGTTGGCCGGAGTACTGGCGGCGAAGGCCAGAGGCATTGCGTAGAGCCGTTATGGCGCGGGCGGCAGAGGCGAGTATGCCTTTGCTTGACCTTGGTGAGGCGACAGATTATTTTTTTGATATGCGGGAGCAGCTAAATCTATCGCAGTATCTTTATTTTTCCAGGGAAGATCTTGAAGCAAGCTATCGTGCTACGAACTTGGGCCCTCACTTGAAGGTCGAGGAGGATGCCGTGCAGAGGTTGTTCGGTTAACTTGCACAAATACACACGCAGACACACATAAGCGTGTATGTATGTATGCGGTGCTATGGAGATGATGACGTTGTGCGACAGGATGCTCTCCAGAATCCTTTTTTTTTTTTCGACGTTAATTCCGTTTCTTTCCTTCCTTCCTGCATATCCATGGAATTGGTTATACACACACACACACACGCACATACATCTGTAGATATACACCTTTGGTATGTTCTTGCTATTGCTGCCATTTGTGCCGCTCCGTCTTTTTATTGTCACATCCATACAAATATATATATATATATATATATATATATATATGACTTATCACTGTGCCAGCATCCAACTGTTTCATCTCTCTCTCTTCCTCTTTGTGTGTGTGTAGTAGAAGCCTGAGTGAACCACTCTTTGTGTTTTCTCACTTGTGGTAAATAATACGGGATGATCATGCAGGGCGAAGGAGGTCAAAATAAGGAGTATGCACAACGTATCATTGGAACGGCAGAGGTGGCGAGGGAGATGCGGGAGGGAGGAGACGCTGATCTTAACGCCACGAATGTGGTTCTTAGCGAGACACCTCACGATGCCCCGCGAGGGAAGTGGCAACGGATGGACAGGGGGCTTAAGTTGACACCCGTTGCGCCAGTGTCGCCACAAGTCAGTCCCCAGATGGGGCAGTGCAGGGAGGAACACCGCCGGCTAGTAAATGAGGATTTTGTTACAGATCCGATTCGTAAGCTTATACTCTACGGCAACTTCCCGCACAAGTTGGTTGTGAACTGCCTCATGCTTCTATTTATTGTTTTGCTTGCTGTCCTGTGCCACACGCCAGAGGCGATCGCCAATGAGGAGCAGCGCAAGGCCGTGCTTCACTCGTTTGCAGGAGAGAACTATCTTGGGAAGGACAATGGTAATGTCAAATTTCGTCCCACGGTTTATCTGCAGAAACGCGAGGACGTTTTAAACGAGATTGAGGGGTTTGTCAAGGTCTACTATGCCCTTTCAAACGCCTCCGTGAGTGAGTTGAACTATTACTACTATACAAAATCCGAGGGCAAGGCAGCGCATATGGGGCAGTTGATAGGGAGTGAGATGACAGGAGTTCCTGCCTGCCTTCACGCCATGGTGGACGGAGCGGCGTCTGGCCCCGACGATGCAGCGGGTGCGGTGCGACTTGCTTGTGTGGTGCCAGTGTCAATGGAGGTGGATGCTTACCTTTACTCGCAGCGGGAGTACGGAGGCCCCGCTACACTGCGACACTTTACGGCTGAGCTGACAGAAGAAAATCCATTGGGGCCCTTTTCCGCGGACAAGGATGAGAATGCGGAGGGAGACATGAAACAAGAAAAATATAGTGAATATGAGGGAAGAGGCGTAAACCCCTCTGCAACAAAATCGCCTGGTGAGGGTGATCCTCATACTGCTGGAACGAAGAAGGACGGCCACGTGCAGGCGATGTGTGCCCCTCGGTATGATGATATCACTGGTCTGTACTACAGCCCCTGCCGTCGAGCACTGGACGCGAATGCAAAGAAGCCCACTCATGGCACGGGAGACAGCAATGCACGATTTATATTTCCATTGTTGGACAACGTCAGACAAATTCGACTAAAGGCCTCAATGCGGCATTTGACAGGTACCTCATTAACTCCTCAAGAGACAGTCAGTGGCTTTGCAGTCGTTATCTATCACTGGACGATTGAAAAGATCTTCTCCTTTCATGCTGGTGGTCTGGTGGAGGTGGAGTTTGTGGTGTCCGTTGTCACGAAACGCTTTCATCCGGGCTTATATTCACGATTTTTCTTCACCGCCATGCTGCTGTTCCTTGCTGTATTTGACATCATTTTACGGTTACATGCACTGCGGCGGATAAAACTTCACCGGCGAAGCCTTGCGGTGTCGCAGGATGTCTCACAGGAGGGCGAGGATTTGGACTCCGTTTGCCACCAAAAAGGTATGGACGCTGTCACGCATGCCGGAGGGAATGTGGCGGCCCCCGATGCATCACCTCAGACAGAGTGCAACGCCACTGCGACTCGTACGACGCCGAATGCCTCACCACAGTTCCCACAGCCACAAAAGGCGAAGTTGAGGCAGGTAAAATACGTCCCAAAGGCCGGCTCCTTGGTGCCGGAGACTGTGTACACTGACTTCTACGATGCCTGGCGTGAACAACTGCAAAGCTCAAGAGGGGAATCTTGGCATTATACTGCGCTTGCTGCCGATTTCTTTACACTGGCGTACTGTATCACATCGTCAGCGCGACTGTGGTGTCGCGCAACTTCAGAGTGGCATAACACACTTGAAAGTATTGTGTTGGGCCTGACGGGTTTGCTTCTTTCCGTGAGTTTTCTGTCGTATATTCGGTACTTCCCGCATATGTACTTTGCGGTGCAAGCGATGCGGCGCGTGATTCCGAAGCTCCTCCTTTTTGCAGCGAGTGTGGCACCCATCTTTGTTGGGTTTTCCCTTTTCTTTTGCATTGTCTTTGGGCCTCACTCGAATGGGAAATTATCTGACATGGGGTTCTCTCTCGTGGTGCTTTACTTTGTGATGTTTGGTGACGCCATACTTCCCACCATTGAGGACGCGGAGCAGTCGGTGTACCCCATTGTGACGGTTCTTGCGAATTTCATGACGATGATGTTTATTCTCTTCTTTATGATGACGGTGCTGAACCTGGCCATGTCCATCACGCAGCATGAGTGGGGGATGCTGCGACGACGGTTTGGGGCATGCCTAAGCGCCAATAATCTTCTATTTGAAGTTCGTACCCGCGATGAGGTGAAGGCGGAAACGCTGGAGGTGGTTATTGCCAACATGGAACTTTTGCTACACATAAAGAGCGAAGAACAACAAACTGCGGGTGCAGCACACGAACGCCATGCAGGAAACGTTAGTAGCGCCAGTGGTGATGGCAGTGATGCCGTGGGGTGTGTAGCAACCACTTCACGCGCTATGCAGGAAGGTGTAGCTGACTTGTATCGACGACGCCTTGATGAGCTTACGGAGGGAGCACTAACTGGGGCTGCGTGAATGACCTTAATTGACTCACTTGGATTTTGCAAGCACATGCCTGTTGGCTCATACTGCACATGCGCCTGCACTTCATGAGCCTTGCCGCTCATCCAGATGGAGCAGCGATGCAATACTTGGTAGCAAGACATCACAAGAGAGAGAGAGAGAAAGAAAGGTAAAGAGGGGAGAGGGAAAATAAAGTGTTTTTCTTCTCACTGCACTGGAGCCGTTTTTTTCTTTTGTTCTTTATTTATTTTTTGTTTGGTTACTTTTTTTAGCAGCCATTGAGTTTTTTTTTTTTTAGGTAGAAAAAGTTTTGCCTGTACTGTATGGTTGTGAGTGTGTTGCAACGACGTCTTCTTGTACAATCCAACGCCTCAGCCTTTTTGTGTTTTTCTTGGTTTATGCTTCTGTGTGTACGCACGGCCGTGAGTGTATGTAGCTGATATTTCGCGTGTGACAATATCATTGTTTTTTCTCCCTTTACGGCTCTGCTGTTTTTTTTTTTCTTTCCTGTCTGTCTCCTGATTTTTGTGAGACGCCACCCTGCTCTTTGCGCGCAGGGCACTGACTGCATGAAGGAGAACTCTATACGGTGCGAAGCGTGTGGCGCACGTGCAGCCGTGCGCCTGGAAGGTGGTGGTGGTGCCGTTTGTCCGAGTCCGGCGGTCCGGACGGTTTGTTACTGTTACGTATGCGGGAGGTCGTTACGCCACGCCGGGTGTGCTGCGAGTGCGTCGCCGCCGCTGACTGCTGAGGAGTCCTCAGTGCGGGAAAAGGCGAGGCCTACGTCGGCAGAGTCTGTCACCTTCAACGAGCTAAGAGCGCTGCTGCGACGACGACTGGCTGCGCGTAGGGGCACTTCCCTCATCCGATGCGCGCCGTATGCGGCGACTCGCCGGGGGCCTCACTTCTCCTCGACATCCTTGTCGTCATCGTCATCGTCGTCATCGTCTTTGTCGCTGTTGGAGTTGGAGTTGTGTGACGATACGGGGAGGATAGAGTGTTGGCGCGGGCCGCAGGCGGGTCGGGAGCAAAGATCACCCGAGTTGTTGGCATGGACAGCATCGTCCTTCAACGGGGATTTTGCGGAGGCCGCCGCTGCAGCTCCTCCGTGGCTTTTTGCACGTCTGAAGACAGTTGAAGATGCGCTGGCGGAGATGGTATTCGACTTTAACACGCGGCTTGCGGCGCTGCAGGTGAGTTCCATACGCGAAATAGGCGGCTGGAGGCAACAGGTCTCGGAACTGAGGGCGGAACTTCGTGAACGGAGGGATCAGGAGACGGTGCTACTGAGACGCGTGGAGCTGTTGGAGACGAAGCTGCGTGAGCGGCACGACGTACACGCCGAGGAGGTGATGGAGGAGCAACGCAGGCAGGAGGAGACGCAGCGCTGGCGTCTCCGACTGGAGGAGAAACAGCAAGAGAGTTTGAGCGCGGCATATCGTTTGTTATGTGATACGCTTGGCGTTTGCCATGTGGGCTCATGAGGGCCAGGGGACGGACCGTTAATATTGGTTTTCCGGGGAACGGGACTTCCTCCCTCCCGCACGGCAGCTTCTTCCCTCATCCCCCTTTCGTACTCGTTTTTTTTTTTTTTCTTTACTGAACGTTCCATGGTTGCGTGAGGTCGGTTAATTACTGCGTACCGGTTAGATGGATTGTTTTTTTTTATTGCGCTTTTAAGCTTTTTCTTTCTCTTTGTTTCTGTGCCTTTGTTAATTGTTGTGTGTGTTTGCCGTCTGTTGCATGACTTTTGTTATATTGCCATTGCTTGCGCTGAAGGGGTAGTCACATCAAAGCGTGAGTAAGCGGTGGCTGGGACGAGGGAGATAACGAGCGGTGCCGCTTTTTTACAAACAAAACCGCACGGGGTGCCCGCCTGCTGCTTGCATGAAGAGTGTAGGGCTGCGACGAAGGCCGCGCCACCCGGCGGCACAGAGTGCCGCGGGGCAAAGTGATACTCCGGTGACTGTGGTATTCCGCGTCCACACGGACAGTGTTTCCAAGGCGCCTTTTCTCTACTGTCCAAAAAACTACAACCGTCCCATGCCTAGCGAGGGGGAGGGATTCACAGAGGCTATTATTGAAATTTGCGTCCCTGGTGACACGCATGTTGTCAGCAGTACCGCTGGTGGTAGCGAAGACAACATAAATAGCAGGGGTAGGGGTGCCGGCAGTTGGACTCGCCATTCTGGCAAGGATGGTAGTAGCACGGTTTCGCCGGCAGCCACAGCGATGTCACATCTCCCAATGGAGGCGACGTACCGGCTGCCTTTCTCGCTTGAGTCAGACGGAAGGAAATTGACGGAGACGGTAAGTACGGTATCGGCTTCTAGTGGTGCCGTGTCGGACTCGAACGCATTGCGACTGCAACAGAAGCCGCGACAAGAACAATCATCGCCAAAAACACGCCTTAACACTTTGTCTACTGCCGTCACTTCTCCCATGTATGATAGCTGGGTCTGCCGTGCGTACTGCTTTGGTGAAAAGGATGCGATGCACGCGAATGGCGCAATCAGCGTTCACCAGTCGTTGACAAGCAAAAGTCCGTTTATCAACGACATTGCGAAGGGCAAGGCACTGGCACGGGTGGTACCAACATATGAGGAGGTGCAAGATCGGTTTGGTTTATCACATGTGGAGTTGTCCTTTGAAAATCAGTCCGTGTCACGTGCCGACATGTTTCTAATATCGGAGGCGCTGCGGGATCGCATTCTCTACGAAGGGGAGGAGGTGGCCCTGTGCGGGTTCAAAATACGGGTGAATGAGATGCTCTGCGTTTTGCAGCCAGCTACAGCTGAGGGCTCGGTCGTGAGGGCGTCGCCGCAGGGCGATAACGTCAAGAACAGCAACAGCAACATAGCGATACTGGATGCCAGTGGCGAGCACAAGGCAGTGGACCCTGCCTGGACGGCAGCGAAGGCGGCAGGGCCACAGCGTGCTTCTCACGCTCCGCTTCCCCAGCAGCTGCAGTCGCAGCCGCAGCCGCAACAGGATGAAAAGAAGGAGCGTCGCTATCGTCGTGTGCAAAGCGGGGTTGTGACGAGGGATACGCTGGTGAATTTTCGTTCCCTTTCCGCTGTGCACTACATCATTATAGAGATCTCCAAGGAGATGTGGGATCCCACGGTTGACGGCCGTATCACGTTGTCCTGGGTCATGCAAAACTTCCTTAGGGAGTACTTCACACAGCAGTTGCAGAAGCACAAGGCATCTCTCCTCATTCAGATCTTAATGGTGGGTCAGCTGTATCCACAATACGCCATCAAGGGACACGTTGACGTCTATCACACGATGTCGATCACGCACGATTATCGCTCCACCTCGCTTGTGGAGGAGGTGGAACTACAGTGTGAGGTGTTTCTGCGCCGCGTGCTGTATGAAGTGAAAGAGGCCCTTAAAAAGCGAGCGGATGCAACGGCAATGACAAGTGCGGAAGACACAAAGCCTGTCCCTCGTGAAGCCGCCTCCAGCGTCGCTTTCGCGGAGCTCGCCGACACACTGACGGAGCAGCATCTCTTTGTTCACGCCAAAAACACCTGCACGATTGCGACCATAAATCTTGTGCTTGAGGACTGCATTCAGCGACAGTGGATTGCGAACACGGGTATTCTTATCAGTGTGGTTTCTGCTGGAAAAGGACTCTATCAAGTCACCAATGACTTACTGCAATTAACTTGTACGCGCCTCTTTAACATTGGAATTGAGAAGGTAAACATTATTTGTATGGGCCGCCCACCGCTGCACACAACCCCGCTGCTTGAATACTTCTCGGAGGATAAAACACTCCGTCCACAGTACCACCTGCGCGTGGATGAGGGTAGCCGACGCTTCTACGAGCGACCTGAATGGGCGCGCTGCTTTTTTTACCACCCCGCTGCGGACGCCACGTCGTGTGGTCTCATGGCGTTTGAACTTTTGACGAGGGATGAATGGATGCGGCGGCACCGTGCGGTGCAGGGGAAGACGTCTCACTTTGTTCCAGGCCTGGGATTGCAGATGGCGCCGCTGGAGGACGTCTTATTGCCAGTGATGGGAACACAACAAATAGGACAGGTATCCTCCACCTTTGCACGGGCGTCAGACTTGGATGCGTTCTTCACCCCAACGTTTTCTCCTGCAGTTTCAGTTCCGTTGGAGGGTGAATGGGGAAAAAACCACTCATTACGTTTTGACCACTCTTATGACGTACCCGCCACAGCGTACCCGCTTGCGCCTGTTGCTGAAACGAGCGGAGAACGTGAAGACAGAATGCGAGGCGAGAGGTTTGGTGTACGTCGAAATACTGATGAATTGTGCCAGGAGGATGATGCCAAAACGTGCACCACGCTCAAGCAAGGCGGCCGTCCGTTTCTTTTTGCCAGTTGGTACTGTCACCACGGCTGCGCGGTGAGTCGCCAGCAGGTATTAAGTCGCGAATGCATGTACAACGTCATCATCAACCATACTCAGGAGAGTACGGGGGTTGGGCGCACAAGACAGAGCAGGATGGGGCTGGAGGCGGCTGGCATAGTCCCCTGCGGGCTGAACATTCTGGACAGCGATCTTCAGAGCGGATACGTCTTCCTCAGACTTTGCATTGATACATCTGTCGCGCCTCAGGTGCGTTGGTCGCCAAAAATTCTCACAGACATGGATCTGTGGACCGTGTTGATGGGTGCCTTTTCAGGCGCGGGTAACTGCCTTGCAGAGGAGGAGCAGCCTCACTTTGTCTCACATTTGCGAGCAGCAGATATTTTTTGCCGCACCTTATCCGCCATTATGACGGACGAGCGCACGCTGATCTTGGCGTCGCATAGCTGCAAGGTGAAGTTTTTGACACCGGAGGAAGTTATCTTCACATTTCGCCCCGCGTTGTTTGTGGCCGCCGACGACGTCACACCGTTTTCCATGACCGTTGCACACGTGCAGATACGCAACAGTGTTTTGTTTGCAATCAAGCCGACAAGTCCTTACCGCTCAGCGACGGAGGGTGAGACGGCGGCCGCTGCCTCGCACAACATTACCACCGATGTGTTGCTGCGTCGGCGTTGGCAGTTTGCCCACCCCGAGTTGCCATCCACTGCGGCGCAGCAATCTCCATGGACGGCACTGTGCCACTGCAAAATTCTTCCAATTTATGGAACCATGTCACCCTACCAGCGTGACTGCTTTTTTGGCGTTCCCACTCATCAATACTCCGTCTCTATTCGAGAGAGTATGCAGTTGCTGGAGTACGTGTTACAACGGTTACACCAACAATACCAGATTGTCGTAGTTGGCTCATCTTTGGCAGGGGTACGGTGGCCTCGGGAAGACCCCACACGAAATGCTCGGCTGGATTTGTCAATTGGTCATCAGGTTCACGAGTTAAAGATATGTGAGACGGGGCAGAGCATTTCAGTTACTCGCATGCTACATAGCGGCATGTACAGTAATGTCTCTGTGACTCAGATGGTGTCTTATTCCTACCTCCTTTTGAACTATCTGCGGCCTGGCTTCAGTGTGCGCACGTTGCAGCTGGAGACACATATTGGGGCGAAGGCTGCTTTCCGATGGGAGAGCCTTGACTCCTACCTCCGCGACCGGTGTCGCTCGGAGGCGTTCCTCCCGCGTAACCCGGAGTGGTCGTTGCGTGAGGGTAAGCTATGTCTTGCTTTGCTGCCAGACGCGTTTGACGCCCCACCTGTTTCTTACGCGGAGTTTGCCGCATTTATCAACCACCGCTTTTGCGCGCACTTCACGATGAAGGGCACTGTAGGGGGGGAGGAGGATAGATCAGGTCTGACAACCAACGTGCCAGACACGCTGGACTGGCCAGACCCCATGCCTACTCGCATCATGATGCTCAACCACGATAATCCCCTGACGCCTGAGCCGCAGTGCTTGCTGGACCACAAGACAGGGCTAACTCTTTGCCTGGAGGCGCCCACGCGGAACCGCATGCTCTCCACTGAGGTGAGAATACCGGCAACGTATAGCCCCAGGTGTCACTGCTTACTACAGTTTTCGTGGTTGGTTTGCATTACACCGATAATTTCCGATTGGATCCGTTCGATTGTTGCGGGTGCTGCGCGCTTCCGACTGCGGGCGGTGCCTCTCCCTTGCCCGTGTTCGACTACAAAGAGTGGTTTCTTCGTGGTCAGGTACACAGTGCGGGCCCGAAATGAGGAGGAAGAGCCACGTTTTCGCCGGTGTTTGCTTAGTCTTCTAACGAACGACACATATCGATATTTTCCCGATGTAACTGTAATGAATCGCAACTGTCGATTGCTGCATTTTAGCGGTCTGTGTTATGTGACGTCTCAGTCGGAGGGGACGGTGGTGGCGAGATGGTTTGAAAACCCGATGCTGCGTACTGGGCAGCCGGAGCACCAGCAGTTATTGCGGGACTTCACCCAGGCAGTGCAACTTGTGCGTCGCCAGGTTGAATCACCTTGAACGACAGGAATATATATATATATATATATATATATATATATATAGAGAGA